GCCCCGTTCCGGAGACCAAGAGAAAGGACGCACAGCTGGACACATCAGCGACTCGCGTCTCCCAGAGGCAGCGGGCCCCGTGCCTTGTCCAGTGGATTGCAGCAGGGGCCAGAAGCCGCCCCGAACTTCGCCACCGGGGACAGAGGGGGGTGCGCGGGGGGGCTTCCGCCAACAGGGGGAAGACACAACAACAACCAAGTACAGTCAGAGAGCTCGCCGCGGTGATCGGCGCCCTCATTGCCGCCGATCGCCACCGCCGCCGATCGCCGCCGCCGCCGCCAGCGCCGTCGATGGCTCGGGGATGGACAGAACCCCTTTAATAAAACGTGGCTCAGTGAAAACGACTCCGGGCCCCCAAGCCTGGCGGGCGCAAGCCGGGGAAATGACGGCCGCGGCGCAGGCCTCTCGAGCACCGAAAACTGACAATTCACTAATCGACCTGTCAAGGTGGGAGTTTTGTCCATCCCCGAATGTCGGCGGTGGACAAACCTCCCTTTAGTAAACATCCCTCTAGTGAAAGCGGCCTGGGACCGAAACCGACGGACCTGGACCCGCAGAAATGACGGCCGCGACGCCCCCTCGAGCACCGAAGACGGCCAATTCGCTAATCGACGTGTCGGGGTAGGAGGTCTGTCCAGCCCTGAGAATGGCGCAGCCGCTGCCGCCGCTGGCGCCGGCGTCGGTGTCGGCGTCGTCGCACGTCGGCGCCGCCGCCCGCTTCGTCACCTGGGCGGCGACGTCGGAGCCCGACACTCCCACCAGCCCTCGAGTCTCCTGGGTTGATGGGGGGCGGGGGTGGGTAGGATTCGGTCGGGCGTGTCCTTCTGCAGGGACATTTTTGGACGAACAATGAAATTAAACGTGGGAAAACAAGTAGTCAACAAAATGCCCAAAGAGATTCAAACAATCGTCCCCGTACTATTTCTTGACCATTTTTGAGCATTCCTCCTGTAGGGGGACACGCCCGACCTCAGGATAGGGCTCGGCCGTCGCCACGTGCCCGGCGAATTCCGAACCCCATCCCCGCCACCCATCGAGTTGCCCGGATCGTGGATCGGCGAGGGTAGGTCGGCGGCCAACCCAGGGGTGCAGTGAGAAGGGGCGGGCCTTCTCACCAGGCTCGGGAGAGCCCACCAGCCTGGCTGAGACGTTTCCAGGCCCTTCCCGAAGGCACAGAGAACTTCTCAGAAGGCGCGAGGGCTTCTGAGAAGTCCTGCCGCCCTCTGCGAGGGCCTTCTCCTTTTCACTTCCCACCCCCGCTCGCCGCCGAATCATTGAGGGCGGGTGCCTTTCCGAGGACAGAGAGACCGGCGATCCCGGGTCTTTTTCTTCGTCTCGGCCCCTGGGAACCGTGACGTGGCCCCGGGGCCATCAAAGGTGGATCTGGGGCGGATGCTGATCGCCGCCGAGCATGGTCGCCGTGGCAGAGGGCAGCGGCTCCGGGCACAGGTCGGGGTCCGTCCGCGCCTGGCGGGGCGGGCGGCAGGCGGCAGGCGAGAGGCGCGGGGGAGGCCTTGGAGGGGGGCAGGTGCTGAAGCCCTCGAAGGCGAGGGCCTCCTAGATGGCGCCACGATGGCCCCATGACGGCCTGCTGTTGTGATTGTTGTTGCTGCTATAGCTGTTGTTGCTGTTATCGTTGCTGCTGTTGTTGTTGCTGTTAGTTAAACCCTCACCTCTGAAGCAGAAGTATTGCTGATCCCCCATCACCGGTGCATGCTGTGCTTTCTTGATCAAAGTGTGCCCCTCGACGTTCGCACCCTGTTTTTTGAGAGGCCGCCTGAAACTTCCTGCACATGTAGTCAAGACCCCCGCTCCTGAGACTTTCTCGCAATTTACCAAGGATCGGTGCTCCCGCCTGCGACTTCCTCACAATTTAGTCAGGACCCCCGCTCCCATCTGAGACTTCCTCACAAATTACTCAAGGACGGCGCTCCCGCTTGAGACTAACTCGCAATTGACTCAAGACTTCCTCGCAATTTAATCAAGGCCCCCGCTCCAGCCAGAGAGCCCCTCACATTTGTTTCAGGAATTGCGCTCTCGCCTGTGACTTCCATGCAATATATTCAGAAATCGCGCTTTAGAAGCTCAGGAAACACGCTGCGCCAAGGACGCCGTCACAAATTACTTGGGAATCGCACTCTCGCCATTCTTAAGCATCCCGCTAGAATGTCCCACCCGCCCGGCCCGCCCGTCAGGAGATCGCCCGCCCGTCGTGGGCTCCCGCCCGAGACTTCCTTCAGGAACGGGGCTTTCGCCTTGGACTTCCTCGAACGTTCACGCTCTCACCTTCCTGCTCCTCCTCCCTATCCCTCCTCCCTCCTCCCTCCTCTCTTCCCCTCTCTCTCCCTCCTCTCTCCCCTCATCCTTATGCCTCTCTGCCCTATTCCCTCTCCCTCCTCTCCCTCCTCCCTTTTCCCTCCTCTCTCCTGCCTCCTCCCTCCCTCTGTCTTTCTCTTTCTCCCTTTTTTGTTTTTCTCTCTCTCTCTCTCTCTCTTTCTCT